TTGGCATAGGCGGCACTTTATCGAATATATTACGGGATGCACCGATAAGTACCACTCGTACTGGTATCCGAACGCGTGGCTATGACAGCTCAGCGCTGGACGTAATGGCGTCTCCCGCCATTTGTTTCCCGCCTTTTTTTATTTTGATGACAGTTTTGTAATTTTTTGACGTGTGTTTTGTTAGATTAAAGAATATTTTTACGATTACTATCACGGAATATAGAATTGTTTAATATTATTAACTATTCACATTATAGTTTAAATATTATTGGATGGAATTTTATTTGTTATAAGTAAGTGTACGTAAAATTGAATTCATTATAATTATTTTAAGTTTTAAATGTATTAAATCAGTTATTAAATTCAAATAATGAGGATTCCCATGACTTTTATAATAATCACTACATAATAGTATAAATAAAACAGAGTCGCTATCCGCCGTCTGTCTGTCCCTATGTATGCTTAGATCTTTAAAATGACGCAACGGATTTTGATGCGGTTTTTTTTAATAGATAGAGTGATTCTTAAGGAAGGTTTATATGTATAATACATGCATATTGCACACGTGCGATACCGGGGCGGGTCGCTAGTTAGGTATAAGAAATATAAATAATTTTCCATAAGGAACCATTATTAAATTATTTTAATTTTTTTCATATATTTCTTTTGTAAGGAATTTTGCAAAAAATAAAAGGCTTTTTAGTTTATTCTATATATATGTATATAGAAGATAAGATATACGGTAAAAAGTAGCCGATGTTCAAATATTCGAAAGCTTGTCTCAGGACCTACCTCAACCAAGTCTAAAGTAACTAGGTCAAACAAAATGTCTGCCGAAGTTTTTATAGGTCTTTGGGGAAGAGAGTAGAAAGTTCAGCATTAAACACCACGTTTGCTCAATGCGGGTTGATTTCAAACTCATAATAAGAAATTATGCCAAGGCTTCGTAACGATGTTTTCCTTCGCGTTTGTCAGTGGTGTCTAAATAATCTTAGAAAGTACGTATAACTCGGAAAAAGTCACGTTGGTACTTGCCGTTGATAAGTTTCGAGCCCGCGTCCTTATGCATGAGAAGTGGGTTATACCTCGACCACTAAGACATTCATGCGAGCCACCGTACAGCCTACAGCCAATGTTTGATTTCAAATTTAACTGTATAGTACGTCCGTACAGGTAAAACTGCATTTGGAGTTGTCTCACTCAAAGATGTCATTGGCGGTGGCACGTGCATTGGATCGCTCGATTCCCTACAATATGGTTGAGTTGGGCGGTGCTGGTGTACGTGTCATGTTCGTGAACGGGCGCCGTCAATTGGGACTGATCAGCTCCAGACTGTATGATTTTATGGTCCTCATGGTTATTTTCTTTTTCAATCTCTTTGACTGCATTTAGGTGTTGCATTATTCTCACACAATCGAACCAACAAAACTATGTAACTAGAGAATTGTATTGTAAACCTGATTGGAAAAGAGTAACCGATGGAGTTTCTTGTTCGTTCTTCTCCATAGGAATCACACCTTGGAATGAGCAAATAGCTTCACTTTTAAATTTTTTTGTTGTTGACATTCAAAAATGCCTTCCTGGTCTAATTGAAATATGATTTTGACTTTGACTTTTGACTTTGTAGCGTGCACTAATTGACTCTAACGACACCCGCAGAAAGAAGACCGTTGGTCACTGATCATAAATGCTTTCAACTTTACCATAAACACACATCTCTCTTAACACTCAAAAATCCAATAACGGGAATCAAACCCGGCTATAATGATCGCCATGATCAGCCAGATTGTTACGACCCAACCATAACTAATGCAATAAAATGCATGGTGCTGACTGTCCATAGTAAATAGTCTATAAAAGATTTGTCCCTACTAAAAATGGGGATATCAAGATGGCGTCATATTCATTTTAATGTTCACTTGCTACGCCCGCTGCTCGGCTCCTATTGATCGTAGCGTGATGTTTTATAGCCTATATCCTTCCTCGATAAGTGGACTATCCAACACAAAAAGAATTATTCAAATCGGACTAGTAGTTTCGGAGATTAGCGCCGTTCAAACAAACAAACTCTTCAGTTTTATAATATTAGTAAAATTAAAATGTCTTTAGCATCTGTGGGCAATCGAAATTAGCTATAATCTGTGCAGTAAATCAGATACTTAAGATTAAGACCACCATAACTTTAGCATTATCGTATCGCAAAAGTTAAGAGTTGAAATCTAACGTTTTTATCGTACGAATTATAATAAACCAGCAAATCTATATGTCTGTATGTATCTTTACTTCTATAGAAGGTGAATATAATTTTTTTCATAAACATAATTTGTCCATATGGGGCCATATGGACAAATTATGTTTTCTACTTTTAGAAAACTTTGATGCTTAAGCAGACTGCCTGGTTGGCCGAGTGGTGGCAAGTGCAACTGGGCAAGGAAAGATTCCCGGGTCGGGCAAAATATTACTGGGGTTTGTTTTAAATCTCAGAGGGAAGATTCCCGGGTCGCGCAAAGTATACTGTTTTTTTTATATCTCAATAGTAGCACGGAGTCTGGAATTGTGTCCGGTATATGGCAATAGGCTCACAACCACATGTCGCGGAGGACCTAACGGGTAACCGGGGCTCCGGCTCGAAGTGCAGGAGTAGGAATGGTGCTCCCTCTCGCCTCACCCAGGCGGGAGCAGCCATTCGATGATTTTCCCATAGATAGATAGATAGATGGGACTCATAGCATAAATAGTGAAAAGTGGTTGTTACATTGTACAGTGGCATTAAGTGCCGTAATGTGCACCTTTGCCTACCCCTTCGGGGAAAATAAGGCGTGATGTTATGTGAGGTCGGCTAACGAGCAGACGGGTCACCTGATAGTAAGCAAGCGGCGCCACCCATGGACACCCGCAACACTAGAGGTATTACTTACAAGTGCGTTGCCGGTCTTTCGGCAAAGGGATTTGAATATTGGGGATTTGATAGATTGGAGAAGGGATTTGACCCTCCAGTGACATCCCTCACACGGAGAGACGCAAGGCAGGCGTTGTTTCACGTCGGTTTTCTGTGAGGCCGTGGTATTACTGCGGTCGAGCCGGTTCAGCGGTATCGTACCATGGTTCCTCGAAACTTAAAGAACATAACATAACATCACGCCTTTTATCCCCGAAGGGGTAGGCAGAGGTGCACATTACGGCACTTAATGCCACTGTAAAATGTAACACCCACTTTTCACTATGCATGTTATGAGTCCCATGTAATAGGGGGTGAACGTATTGCCATATACCGGGCACATATCCAGACTCCGTGCTACTACTGAGGTTTTTATAAACCCAGTAATACTTTGTACGACCCGGGAATCGAACCCGAGACCCCTTGACCGGCAGTCGCACTTGCGACTACTCGGCCAATGATTCAGTAAAGGAAACTTAAAGATTAACCTACTATTTAAAATTTTATTATAAACGGATCCCAAACTCAATGGATAGTCTCTTTATTGTCAATGTTATGATTTACGCGTATTAAAAAATAATAGCAGCTGTCAAACTGTCACTTTATGGCGGTCAACGTCATAAATTGGCGCGAATGCATATAAGTACGCGCGCCATCTTGAATCCTTACGAATGTTGTTACAACTGTTTTTCTGCAATGTAATTTCGACTTTAGCTTAGGAAGATAAAGTTGAAATCGTATTGAATATGTTAGGGTAGCTTTATATGCTGTTCTCAATATGTAAATTTAACGAAAAGTATCATAACATACGCTTTCTTTATGTTTATTATTATGAACGGTCAATCTTATGCCAGTAGTCAAATTTTAAGTGCTAATACCGCACTTATTGCTAAGACTATAAAGTTGCGTTTTATTTGATTGACATATTTTATTTCTACATATCGTTCCATATCTCTACATCGCACACACATATAAATACCTACTTGTACTACAGTCCTGGGAGCTGAAGCGAATTTAACCTAGGGAGCGCCCTAGACAAGCGTCTCTGTAGCCTGTGGCCCTAGGTACTTACCTAGGTTGCCTTTAATACAGCTCTGCCTAGAAGAAGAAGAAGTAGAAGAGACAATGATAACGACAGAAATGAGTCGTTAAGTCATTCATTCCATTATAAAAATGCCAAAAATAGGTTAGAGAATTCAGCAGCTATCGACCGAATTTTATCGTTATCAATGTCGAGACTACCACTGCAAAGCATAACTCCAACTTTAAACTGCCTTTCTCAAAAAATGTTCAAATAATTATCATTTTGATTAAGTAGGTAATGGCGAAATAAAAAACTAATCTCACTAAACTCAGCTACTTAGGTTACATCGCCTAGACTTCGTATCTTATAGTTACGACCCTAAAAATTATGCTTTCTAGACTACAGCTTCCATATTTAGAGGTATAACAAGAAGACAAGGTTGAAAATCAATTACAGTTTGCCGTAGCTTGATGTGACTCAATTTCTACTAATTTAACTTTAAGAATTGAATTCCCTACAAAAAAATTGCTGTACGTCAAAACGAGATCTCTAGAGTCGTATACATATATATATACTTTCTAGCTTTTACCCGCGGCTTCGCTCGCATCACAAAAGGATAAAAAGTAGCCTATGTGATATATATCTATACACACAGCGTCATCTATACAAATACTTTAGTTTTCCCACGGGAATATCAATTTTTCCGGGATAAAAAGTACCCTATTATTTAATCCGGACTTCGAACTTTACGTCTGCAAAAATTCAAAGCAATCGGTTTAGTAGTTCCTGCGTGAAAGCGGAACAAACAAACAAACAAACTTACTTTCCGGTTTATAATATTAAGTAAGGATTTATAACTAGCATTTTCCGAGTTTAACGTGATAGCTAAAGCTAATAATTTATTAAAAACTAAAAGATTTTGTCAGACCTAAAAACGAAAACTTCAATTTCTAAGCATAAATTATTCAGACGACGAAACATCTTCAGGTTTATTAGAATTACTATTAGGTTTCTAATTATTTTTTTCTATGTCCACAGGTTCCGCGCGTGCCTCAAACTGGCTGACACGTCAGTGTCAAATATGGTGGGAAAACTGTTCTTCAATGTCGTTCAAACCAAATGCTTTATTCTAAAGCCTGTGAAGATGTGCACGCAGCGGTCGTGGTGGGGCAAATGCCTCCGAAGAGGTTACACCAAGCAGGCCTTTTTAAGAGACAACCTCCCTTACTAGACTGTATAAATAACACACCTTTGCCTGGCTGTATAAGGTCGTACCTTTGCCTGCTGCGTTGACAGTGACAGTTAATTCAGTGTTGCCGCAATAAAGCCAGTGTTACCAAATATAATAAGATTACCCTACTTCAGGGTAAATGTAAATAAAACAATGCGGCAAAAACTGTACTGTGATGCAATGCAGAATATCTTAATAATATTATTTATATTACTGTGATTGTACGAGTAACTTAATGTATTTTTTATTGTTTTAATAGAGGGTTTATGTTTCTTGTAGAAATTATTATTTAACTGCACATACGGGTTTCAGATTTTTATATTATTTACCTACATATTAACAGAAGTTATACAAAACTGGTTCTTGAGAGTTTGTGCAAATATTACACAATGTACTAATAAGGAATCTGGAATCGTGGCAAATCATCTATGACAATGGGATCGCCACCTGTACAATATTAATACATTGTGTTATGTGCCCCCACAACCTACTCTTTCGGGGATAATTACAATAACAAATGCGCAACAACAAAAACATTTCTCAAATGTCAAAAACCAGTTTGAAATCTTTAATTTAAATAGTTTTTAACTCAAAGTCTTCCTGAGCTCGACCGATTATGTACTTATTAACATAATTGAATCTGCTACGAATCTGTACCTTTAGTACGAGTTTGTTTTTCGTTTGGAGACCGAATCGAGACCGCGTTCGGCGCTCTGATTGCTTGGTTCATTGGAGCCGGCCAATCAGAGCGGCGAACGCGGTCTCGTTACGATCTTGTTAAAAATAGAACAAACTGATACTGAGCCTTATAGCCAACATGATTTGAGCGAATTCGACACAACAAAATATGTACTTATAAAGTTTTTTTTTTTTTTTTTTTTTTTTTTTTTTCTTCTTTGGCAACTGAGTCTCCAAAATGGTGTTGTCGACTATACTGCCAGTGTCGAGTGGTGACGGCAAAATTATTGGACCGTCGAACTTAACTTTGCGGTAGTTTTTAGTTGTTAATAGCTGAAAGGACAAAACAATTGGGTTAGTAAAACATAAACATTATCAACTATTTTACTGTATATATACAGTGGTGTAAAAAATAGTTGGGGGACATACACAATATAGACAGATATTAATATACATCATTGAACACCGTCACATTTTGATCTCATTTTCATTCATAAATTTACATATATAAATAATTACTTTGTGGGAAAAGTGCGTTAAAAGGAGGTGGAAAATATGGGAGTGGGATTTGGATACTGGGAAGTTTTTTGTAGAGGTCAAAGGATTGGGAATTTAAGGGACACGAAAAAAATATGTGTTCTAAGGTTCCCTCATCAAGGCCGCATTCGCACAGCGAGCTGTCGCGGACACGGATCTTGTTGAGGAAGACCGGACTACTACAATGGCCGAGTCTGAGCCTACACAAGGATGAAACAGTATGACGGGGAAGCTTAGGGTACTTGGAAAACCAAGGTTTCCGTCGGATGCCGGGCTGGACAACTGCATAGTAGGCACCTTTCCGTTTGGAAGTTTCTACCCACACTGCAGCCCATGAGTCAAACAGCTTGTGTTTTTGTCGGCACGTATATCATACCCGTACACAACGTAGTGTTGGCGTTCGACCTCATTCGAGGCCGCAAATTTGGCCAATGAATCCGCACACTCGTTACCACATATGCCAGAGTGACCAGGAACCCAAGCGATCTCGATATTTATGTCATCTTTGAAGCAAGAAAAAAGAAGCGCCTTTATCTCGACAACCAAACTGCTATGAGTTCGGGAATGGAGCTGGTCTTGGTTGAGAGACTGTAGGCTACTTCGGGAGTCGGAAAATATAACAGAATTTCTAAGGTTGTGTGCTCTAATAAATTTTATTGATTCTAAAATGCCAACACATTCTCCCGTGAAGACAGATGCTTCCGGGGGACACTTGGAGAGGAGGGCGATCTTCGAATTTTGGAAGTACGCTGCTACTCCTGTACTTCCATTTCGGGATAGTTTAGACGCGTCGGTGAAGAAAATATTCCAGCCCCTCCAGTAACTGTTCAAAGCGCGCCCAAACTCGCCCGCAGCATCTACGGAGGATTTCGAGATGCCGAGTCCTAGAATTACCTTTGGCCTGAAGTGGATAACTTATAAAGTTATAAATAAATAATCAAGTCATAATTGATTGTATTTTAGTTACTTCAAACTATTGCGTACAATGTTTTAAGTTCAACCAAAACGCATCATTGTCATTTGTTAAATTGTGATTATTAAGTAATTTTAGGTTTAAAAAAGTTTATAATAGGTAACTATTGACGTAAAAAAAAGAAAATAAACATTAGCATTTCAATAGACGATATCAAGCAAGCCATCAATTTCCGATTATGTATCAAAAATATAAAATTAAAAACTATCCAAATATCAGTTTATTTAAAAAAATGTTCTTTGTCCCGATTAAATTTATTAAAAAAAATATGGTCGACAATTTGTATTTATATTCAAATAGTGTGGTATTATATCTTAGGTACTTAGATTTAGAAACTAAAAGAAATAAGATTAAATAACTATAAACCCGGGCGTAGAGTTGTAATATAAGAACAAGCCTTTAATTAAAACTATGTATTTTTGTCTAAACATTATTTTTATTTATTCTTGAGTTCCTAGTGTGCGTTTATTTTTATGTTAGCTAAACGACTGGACCGATTTTGATGAATTTTTTTGTGTGTGTTCAAGGGGATCTGGGAATGGTTTAGATTCACAAATCAGCTCGACAGATGACGCTGCAGTCGTGTCTAGGTTATAATTTGAACTAATTTTTGTTTATAAATTCAAGTGGATGCAGGACAACGTCTGTCAGGTCCGCTAGTAATAATAATAATCCTCCATGCCGGTTTCGGCTACGACGACCGTTTTTTGACTACTGACGTCTATCATGGGCTCTCAAGTTGCTGGAAAATCCACCTTTATTTATAAATATTCCTCTACACAGTAGACACGTGAAAACACCGTAAACATAGTTATAATTAATTGCGGAAATGTAATATAAAGGTCAATATAAAGCAGCCAATCTGAGTGCCGAACGTCACAAACGCATCGATAGCGTTAACATAAAAATTACGCACACACTCTTAACTCTTTTTCAAATCTTAACGTACTTTTAAGTCGTATAGATGTTGCCAGTGACAAAAATAGTTCTAAAAGATTCAGAAACTTATCTTATTTCAATAAATAGTGTAAAAAAATTAAGGATTTAAAAGTAAATAAAATAAAACTAATGTATTTAAATTATTATACCGCTGAAAACTTTAATTGTTTAATAATAGTTAATTTTAAACGTTTTTGCTGTATTCGTACTCGTTGCAAAGAGTAGAATGCCTAACTAAATTGTTATAACTCCGAAATGATCCGATAATATGATGAAAGAGTTGTTGTTAATAAAATAAAAAATCAACAAGTCTATAGTCAATTTGATGAATTCGTTTTCAAATGGACTACCAAGAACATATAGAAGAGAAACATTGGCGAGCTGTTACACTTTATTTTCCTATTTGATTTATTTGAATGTGTAACAATGTTACCTAATTAAAAAATCTCCCATTAAAATAGGGAGAATCTGATGTAGCTGTGCTGCCGAAAATTGATAATAAATGTTTGTGTAAGTTGACGTAAACAGCAGTAATGGTATTTCATTTCAAAACTTTTTAAGATATATTAAGTTATTAGCGGTTAGTCATAAGTAAGCGTGCAAAGTTCCTCTATTTGACAATATTCAATGTGTAGTCAAATAAGTTTTGTGATTCTCACATTTAGATGTCATTGATGTTGTAGAATTAAATCTAGAAAGCAATAATTATTGTAAGGAAATGTAGATTTTTGCTGTTAAACACCACACCATTTTGTCTCCATTAATGTTAACAAACAGGTTTTACGCAAAATTAATGGGTAAGTAGATATATGTCGAAATCTGTTACAGTTATGGACAGTCTGTAATAGGGTAGTTTCCTAAATTGTATTTTACTGTCAGTCTGGTAGATTAATTTAAAACTTTAGACACGTATTTTTGCTTTTCTCACAAAATTAAATACTTTCGACGGTATAATTAATTTAAAATATCATGTGACGTTACAGCGTGCCACATTTTGTAGCACGTTATGACGTAACAACCTCCCACTTCTAAACTTAGCGCCATTTTATCTAAGTATTGCTACTTAGTAAGAGAAAATAAAAAAATACGTGTCTAATATTTTTTCATTATCTAACTGACGGACTAATTACATTTTTAGTTTTGATACCCTGGAAACTACTCAATTGTTTAGTATGTCTACATGGATGAAAATAAAGATCATATAGCTTTATGGCTTCACTAAAAACCATGTAATTAACTATAAAAATAGCTACTGTCTCTGCATTGAATCAATCTTTATTTTCCAGTCTGCATACTGCGTATCAAATAACACATCTCCACTTACCATTGAAAAGTAAATGAATCACTTTTAATATTTCAATAATACTTAATCTATAGAAAAATTGGAGTTTTAGTAACTAGCAAATAAATTGTAATGAAAATTCGGTCCTAACTAGTTTTTGGAAAAAATGTCTTTAGATGTAGGCCTATTTAATCAGTGTCAAAACAATAATAGCGACTATTTTTTATTATTTACATAGAATGTGCCAAATCTAAGTAAAAATACATTTTTTGTACTTAAATCTTTCGACTATTGTAGCTAAAATAATAATTGTAGAAACTATTCGTCCTTTATAACTTAGAAATGCAAAGGAATTTTCTTTTCTATGTTATATTATATAAACTTTCCAACGTCACAATTACAAGAAATAAAATACAACGCAACAAAATGATGTACAGGGCAAATTAATCTCGACACTGAAAAAACAAATCGATTATCAAAAATTTGTCGCTATCAATGTCGATACTTTCAGCTCGGTACGCAATGCAATAATATTTTTAGCCGTAATTTCTAACTATGTCATAAAACATATTTGTTTTCTTTAGTTATTAT